TATGATGTTAAAAAAACCCAGAAATTATAAACCTTTTCAGTTTTCAAAACACAATGTTCTTACTACCTAAAAATCAGTATCACATCTTTGGCCTACATTGGTTTGTTTTGATCGTAGTCCTCTTTTCTCAAAATATAGTCTTATAGATAAAAATTGTCAAAGCTCTAGGAGCAAATATTTTTTTTCTGAGACACTATAATATGATATACTGATTCAGAAAAATCAAAAATAAATTTTCCTTTACTTTTCCCCTCAAACATCTAACTACTTGTGTGCACTGGAAGGACAAAGCGTAAATAATTTGGCCACAAGTCATCATCTATACCAAATTCTGTATTAAATTGATTTCTTGTTCTTGGAGGTTCTACCTTCCGATTAACAAATAGCCTATAAATGAATTTTGTATGTGCATTTTGTATATCTATTTGGTCAGCATGTATGAACAGTGTTCTTTTCCGACACAAATCTCTATCGAAACCTTGTTTCAAAATTTCTTTCCAATTTCTAGGAATAGCATTTATGATACTCATCACCCTCAGATAATAATTATTTGATATAGAAAATGCTTGAAAAAGTTTTATGTTACCATCTATATTATATAGATCGCTGACAAATCTAATACAATTTTTAAAAAGATATTTATCAAAAATTGTTTTACCATTTATTTTAACAAATTTATTATTCCACACAATTTGTGAATAAACATCCATCTCTTCTGGCTTAGTCAATTCTATATAAGTACTAATAAATTTTTTATAAAATAGTGGAACACTTTGTATTGAATTAACATATCTTTTATCAAGATTGCAATTAAATATGACTTCACTACCTCACTTAACCGTAAAAGCTGTAAACAAAACCTCCAAGCATCGGAACTATCTGAGTAGTATCGTTGTACTCATTTAACTTTTAAAGCCTTAAAAATTGATTTAACATCAATCATGTTGAGGCCACACATCACAACAACATGAAATCGACTTATGGCATGCATGTATTTGTAAATATAATTTTTAGAAGGGAGCTGATGTTTCAAAAGCAGTTTGCTAAGAAAGGATTTAGATAAATTCGCGATTCTACCAATTTTACACTAGATATTTTCTAGAAAGTGGTAACTTGTTTACTGCTAATATAAGATTATTCTGTATAATTATAAGTTATTATCTGAATGAGGCCTATTTGGATCCATATTTCATTTAAAGTTTATAGTTATTTGATCCCTTAAAATGAGCAATTAATGTTTTAAGTGAATACAGTATTTGAAGTTAAAATCATACAACTACTGAGCGTAATGATTACAAGCACTCATGACAGTCGAGGCCTCCCAATAGAGGAAAATCCCCTACGATCTGGGATCGTCAATGGGTCGGCCATGGCCCATATGGGTTAAGGGGCGAAATTTAACATGCTTCTTTATTAAATAATCTTGGATAGAAATTACATAAGACATATTATACTATTTCTCTAGTAACTTTAATCATCTGACAACTATAACTTGTCATTCCGAAGTCTTGGGAGACTAAGTGCAATGATGCTTAATAGACTGGACGTATCTCACCAACTATGTTATATGAAGTTATAAAATGGCGGAGTGACAACAAAAAAGTCCCATACACATTTATACAGGCCATCGATGTTAACTAGTTTTGAGAAGTCTGTAAATTATGTTTCAGTCCGGTTAATCAGATGAATTATACATTTGTCTCCTTCAATGCAAAACATTTAAAGCTAATAGGGAGCAACGTCTGACAATAGTATATTATAACCAATATTTGCCAAATTCGTGGATAATTCACCACTCAGTAGATTGAGTAATACATGCGGTAGGTCGTAGGCCTAATATAATTGCAATATATACCGACCATTTTTTAAACATTCAAAATCCATGTTTATTTACTCTTTGTTCTACCTAGCAAATACAGAACGTTCTTATAACTTTCGCGAACGTTGGTTAGGTATGTCACAAAATAATGTTCACACATCGTTGCAGGAACGTTCAAAAGTTATGACGTTTTGAAATTAGGTCGTAAGTACATACTTATGGTTCTATAAAATAACGTTTTAACGCCAAACGATAACGTTATTATAAGGTTCTTATAACGTAATACTGTAAGCTGGGTAATAATCTATTGATCTTAAGCAATTCGTATATCACCTTACCTCTTGAAGATGCCCCTTTTTGACTAAACATAGGTAAAGATGGAAGCATTTTGGTGTGCGTAGTAGAACACTCTCCTATTTTCTGTCCTATCGCGAGGCAGAGTCTGTAAAGAATTGGTAATCACATTGTTCCTCGTTAATATCATCAGAAACTGGAACTACTTCATGTACTGCTGACGCACATCCGTTGGGTTGGGCCAATGATATTATTTAACATTAAACATGAGATTTGTTTCCGCTCGGTTACTCCATCAACTGAGCAATGTGTACTCCCTTTGATTTTGTTTTTCTTCAGGACGACACGTTTTAAATATATTGCAAATAAAAATTAGATCCTAGGCTTACATAGCATATGTGGTTTAAGAAAAACGTGTTGTGAGCACTAAATACGTTCAGTTTGCAGAGCTGACTAAAAATACAGTCCCATATACAGTATAGTCATGGTCTTAGCTGCTCATTTGTTGACAACAGGGGTGGTGCCAGGATTTGCCCGACGGGGTGGGGGCGAGGTCCCCGACGAGAGGGCCGATGCCCCGACGAGGGGTCAGATTTCCCCGACGAAAGCGAAGTGGGCGTGGTCGAGCTTCGATTAAAAGGTTTCGAAAGTGGTCCTAGGGGCGAAACCCCCGAAAATTTTTACAATTTAGGTGTTTCAAATGCTTATTTAATCGATTTTATAGTCTACTATATGTAGAAAATACATACAATTTTTTTTTCTCCCCGACGAATTGTGCTTTTTCTCCCCGACGGTGGGGGGCAGCTCTCCCCGACGGAGGGCCATGCCCCCCCCCCCCACTCTATCAAAATGGGGTTTTTTTGTGTAAATGAATAGAGCACATAATTAACTTTATAATGAGGGCTCAATGACCTGAATCGGACAATTAGGGACGGGAATTCACATATTTTTAAACATTTGCAGGCTTCAGAACGCTGTCGGGATCTTGCTAATGAGAGATATTTCACCGTTCTTGACTCTGCAGATTCAGCTTATAAACTCAAAGTTAAGGAAGCTTTGCATATCACTTGGAACAATTCATCCCTTAATAAGCAAATTTACAACTTGAATATCACGTTCGCTGTTTGATTCTTATGTACTAATTTACATAACAATCCGCAGTGACGGATGGTGTCTACGTTTTGTGGTTTGGTTCATTAGTCGCTTTTCTAATTTGCTTATTTACATATATATGTATAAAGCCATTTATAAGCTTTGGCAAAATTTGTCATCTTACGCACTGATGATGAGAATCGTTTTTTCGAAACATGTTTGCTATACGATCGGGCTCAATGAGTCCGCGATCACGATTAAAGTCTATTACTTGCTTTATAAAGTGCCTTAATTGTGGTGTTTTTACTTATACGAAATTTTGGTGGCATTATTTATG